TTTTTAATCCTGACGCTACACGTGTCCATCGTGGGCCACTCTTCATAACTACTATGTTAGTTCGGCCCACATCTTTTTACACAGGTTATCCTTCCCTTAGAAAGTTCTTCACCACGTCACACCGAACTAACCTAGTAATGGGCATTTAAACCTAACTACTGTAAATGTCGAACACTCCTTGCGTCGCACTCTTATATGGCCGAGCTGTTGTAATGCCGAGCTACCTCGATATACTATCAAGACGGTTGGAGCTACACGTAAGTACGTAACCGAGCTACTAGCTCTTCCGAACTGGTTGCCAGACTGTCTTAGTGCCTAGCCGGGTTGCTGTAATGCCGAGCAACCTCAGTATACTATGAAGACAGTCAGAGCTACACCTAACCAAGCTGCGAGCTACATTGGCCTTGTCATCGGGCTAACTCCGGCTCGATAAACCGAGCAAGTCCTTGCCGGTTAATTACCAAGCTACTCTTATGTGCTACTCTTAATTTGGAAAAAAGAAACAAAAATTCGTGTGTTAAATTTTTAAAGTAAAAGGTTGTGCTTAAGTTGAAATTGTATTGAAGATTGTAATTTGTTTTTTTAAGTCGAAATTTGAATATATCCACGTTGTAACTTCAATTTTTTTTTAAAACATATCAGTTCTTCCAAACTTCTACACCTGTGCCCCCTGATTATATCACAGGTCTAGCCTGAGGTAAAAATAACTATACAAAAAAAATGAATAAATAAGGTAAATTATTAGCATAGTTGGTTTAACTCTGTGCTTACTGCACATTTTTTTTTTTGTTAAAACTCAGAAATACACAAAAACGAAAGTGGCTAAAACTTTTACAACTCACATAAATTCTTATTGGGCCATATAAAGTTTAACTATTTGGGCTGCAAAGTCTATTACTTCATCCCGTAGCCCATCTCTCAAACAAATTATAACTTAAAATATAAAAAAAAAAGGAAAATAAAAAATACTGATCGTTTGGTTTAAAATTTCGACCGGATAATACAACCCAACAAGCTATAGCTCAAAAAACGGCCAACCATGGCCACACATCTCCGCCTCAACCTCGCCGTTATGCCGAGTACTACCTCCAAATCGACGGCGAAGCCGAGATACCAGACAGTTAAAATTCGCTGCATAGGATGGGTAAGCGTACGGACGCGCGGCAAAATGTTCGGTCTTTTACTCATTTAACAGTGGCTTGTGTGTGTGTATGTATGTGTATGATTTTTGCTGAAATTCGGTTTGGTGCGTGAAGGAAGGACCCGGAGGGCATCCTGGGAGCACCAAAAGCCGGGCACATAGCGAGGCTCGAGTTCAAGAAGCGCCTCGAGAAGGACGCCGATGCACGAGAAGCTTTCGAGCGGCAGGTGCGAGAGGAGAAGGAGCGCAGGAAAGCCCTTCGCGAGGTGGGTACTTGTGAAAACTGCTATTTCAGTTACAAATGTTATGAATTATTGTCTTGCTGGTGTGAATTGCTGTCTTGATTGTTTAGTTTTCTTGCCCGGGTTGTTCTGTTTCTATGAGGCTCTCAGTTGTGGTATTTGTGTTGCTGTGTATCTTGGAGAGATGTTCATCTACTGTTTCTTTTTTTTTTTTCTTTTTTGATGTTAGTCTCGGATGATACCGGATTCTAAGGAGGGATTGGTCGAGTATTTGTTAGATACAGAGGCTCAGGAGATTGAGTTCGAGATTGCACGATTAAGGCCTCGGTCAGTTTCTTGGTTTTATGCCTGATTCATCGCA